AGAGTTTGTATTTTTCTTTTGTCTTTTAGTGTTTTGTTTGGTTTGCACTGTTATCTCCACAGCATCTATAATACTCTTGAAGCTTGACAAAATTCATTAGTTATGTGATATAATAAAAAACTTTTTCAGAAGAATATTCTCAAAGAGGTAAATACCCTTATCACCAGGCATTTTATATTTAGTAATTTTTTAAAGGTTTTTGTTTAAATTATCACAGTCAGCCTTCAGTCTGATAAACAATACATGAGGCTCTCGGAATTGAGCAGATATTAACCCTTTTATCACTCTTTGAACTCAGGTGCCAGTCCAAAAATTGTGGCAACCGGCACAATTTGTCCAATAGCAAGGTTATTAGTAAGTGCTAATGCAAAATGTACTGCATTAATGGATACATACATAATGATGTGTAAATGGATACATAAAATACACAAAATTCAACAGCTAAAACTCACACATTACATTATAATGTATATATCCACCCAGAGTGAGAAATTATAACACACAACCCATTTTGCGAAGATAAAAGAGAATAAAAACTGTTGTGAAAACTAACACTTTCTTCATTATAAGAGCAAGGTATATTAGGAATAAATTTCTGAATCTACAGAACCTTAAGGATAGAAAACATTTAAAGTTTATTTTCCAGAAAATTAACACTCAAAACTCATTAGTAAAAATAAAATGCTGATGGAAACTTTTCCATCTGTAACTAATTCAGAATGATCTTTCTTTCTAAACTTAATATAATTTTGTAAATGTTTCTGTTCCCTTACCTTGCACGGTTTTTGAAAAATGAGTTAACATGAAGAATAAAAAGTGTTCAACTTTCTCTTCCTCCCACCTAGCACTAATTCTTTCAACATGTAAATGTCTCATAATCTAATGAAAAATGCTATTTAGAATTTTATTTTCCAGTTAAGTATATATTATGATGACATGTTTGCTGAAATTAAATGTGTTGCAATTTAAGATCTCATTTCAATTTCAGACTCAGATTTAAACAAAGCATATTATAAAACTACAGACAAACTGTTTGTTTATTCCTGATGCATTTTCCTTTATTAGTATCACAAGTTCCAAGACATGAAAGAAAAGACCATCAATACACTAGTTTGTCCCCTAATTTGTGTAGCTACCATAAAGGAACATTTTATTTAAAATGGAATTTGTAAACAAAAGATGAAAGAATTAAGAAAAATTCATTAATCAAAGTGTGATTAAAAAAAGACTTGATAGCAGGAGTATAATGGACCAGGCGAGAAAATAACAAAAATAATGAACAACCATAGACCAGAGACATTTTGTGGGGGTGGAGTGGGGAATGGGATCAAAAAGGGGGGGGGGGGGGAGGGAAGTGCCCAGGATTATGGTGATGGCACACGGGTGACTTGGTGATGGGAAACCCGCGGGGATTACAATTGAGATGAAAAAAAAAATGTGAAAAATGATAAAAAAAAACTTTTTAATAAAAAAAAAAAAAAAAGACTTGACACATGAAGTGTCATTTAATATGGCTGTTAACACCAACAGGAAGGATGCTGGAAACAATGCTAAATGGAAACTATGAAAGCATGGGCTCATATGATCTGTTCTTAGATGCAAAATAATGGAAAATTGATATGCAGTCTAAAGTTAAGATGCTGTCACATAATACAGGAAAGTTGAGATGCTCTAGAAAAACCCATGTGGTGAAGTCATAAGAGAAGACAGAAATTAAAGACAACAGTGTTTCAAAATTGAGAAGAGGATGGCTAACTACTAGGTTCAGTTAGGCTGCCACTATTCTTCAGGACTATTATCATAAACCACTCCAAATAATTTTCCTGTTTTTCAATTCTTTAACTTCCAACATAGCAGATGGCTACAAAGGCATAAACAAGTTGAGAAATATAGTACTGGTGACTAGTCACAGACTTTGGAATTATATTAATATATAAACACTAGTGGTGCCACTTACTAGTTTGCACAACTATGGGTGAGTTACTTAGGTTCTCTAAGGTGCAGCTTATATAATAACTGTACTCAACTACCACAAAAGGTTGTTAGAGGGATTAAAATTAGTTTGAAAAAGCGCTTAAAACTAGGTCTTGAACTCCATGTTTACAAATGGCACAGATAATCATGATACACTAAACATTATTTTTAACTCTACACATTCCTATGTAAGCCACTATTCTCTGGGTTTTAAAATTTTGAACTCATAATCTCCAAATACTTAAAAGAAAATATTTTTATTCTTATTTTACAAACAGATTCTACAGAAAAACTCAGGAAGTTACTAACCCAAGCAGAAAGCAGTCTAGCATACAAATACCTAACAGGCTAACTAAAATCTTCTTCACACATTTTGTTTAATGTATTAGGTACTAGAAGTTAAAGTTTCCCAAAGAAATTCATTACCAAAACATACATAAATATCCTACTATCTATCTATCTATCTATATATAAAACACATAGATTGAAAATTAAGTAAAAATTTACTGAAATAAAAGTATATTACTGATAATAGCAGTTATCCTTTTTTAATTTTGTATAAGCCAGGCACACTTATCACATTTAATCCTATGAAAATCACCACTATCATTTCATTCTGTAAATGACAAAATTGAGGTCTGGAAGTTGCAAGTAATTTGATAGAAATCATATAGCTGAAAGTGGCAGAGCTGAAATTCAATCCCAAGTCTATCTGATACCAAAGCTTATCCCTTTGACCACTATTTATGCTGCTCTAAGGCAATACATATTTTACAAGACACAAGTTGCAATCTGATATCTTTAACATAGTGGAAAAATGCCTAAAGTATATTAAAAAAATAATAGAGCTCTTTTAGTTATTTACCCTAAGATACACAAACACAGAGACAGTCATGCACTATTAGAATTATTAACATTAAGTGGTATCTCTGGAGTCTTAATCAGGAGGTAAGAAACCATTTTCATGTCTATGGAATACAAAATGTCTCAAAATACTATTCCAAAACACCATGAATATATGTAAACCATGTTAGTAAGCTGAAATAAAGTAAACAGTAATTTCACTGTTTCAGAATGTTATTTCCAACTATAGTAGTACAAATCAATCCATTTAAGTCCACATGACTGACTATTGCTTTTTATTTACAGGAAGAGCATGCCCAAACCTCTCAACAAAGTGAGGTTAATTAATTCAACAAAGTGAGGTTAATTCAAAATACACAGAGAAACGAAATCATATATACTGATTACAACAGTTCTTCAGAAAGCTCATAAAAACCACTTAGAATGAAAATGATGAGCTGAATTTCAAACTACATCAACTTTTCATCACAATGTACACATTTTAAACAGTACAATATATTTGCCAAACAGTACAATATATTTGCCACCTTTAATGATTTTACTGAAAAATAACCTTTGATTCCATCATGAAAAGTTTCTATACTTTATTGAAAATATCCCAAACTCAACTAACAACATAGTATGTATTGAAAAAAACCAAGTGGTTGGAACATTGAGAATATCTAGTTACTTAAAATCTTTGACAAAAGGATGTATCCTACACTCTTGGCCTATGTTATCCTTTCCCAGCATGTATCCACAAGTATACTGACAAATGGTATACACGAATTTTCACAATTTTTTTTTTAAATCATGATCTTCAAATACATTGTTTTTCAGACCACAGTAAGTGCAATTTCTGCATTATCAGAAATTTTGGGAAATTTAAGAAATTTCTGCATTATCAGAAATTTTAGGAAATTTAAGAGTTGAAAGAAACTTTAAAGTTGCTATAAATCTACAATTCAGGAGAAAATATATTTACAATTTTACTTAAATATAAGCATTCTGGAATACATATGTAATATAGTAATTTACATATATATGACATTACATTGTTCTACCTTTTTTCTTTACATGATTTTTTTTTTACAAAGTTGTAACATTACACATATAATTTTGACTTGTTTGCCTGGCATTATAGTATGATCAAATTTTAACTAAATTTTTCTGACACATTATATTTTATGACTGATATTTAAGGAGAATGTACTGAATAATAGTACTAGCAACACTTAGTAATTAACAAACTATAACCTTTTCTATATATCAAAATGTATCAATTTTTCAATAATTTTGTTGTATTTAATGTTCTATTTGAGTTACTAGTTTATATAAGTTTCACTTGTGTTGGTTAGTTATGATGTTTTCCTGAAATTTTTTATTTGCTTTTTGAAATAATTGTCTCTTAGCAATTTATACGGCTTTTATATAAAATCATTAAGTCTTGGTACTATATATTGCAAACATTTTATTACTTGTCCTTTTTCATTTTTTTCCCTTTTTCAGAAATTTAAACATTTATCTATGAAATTTAGTTTTACTTCAATTTCTTATATGCCTAATAACCTCTGGCCATTTTCCATTATCTAATATGCGATAAAAAGTTTCATTATATTTAGCTTTAATAATGATGATTTTTATAAAAAGATGTCATGCTTTAAAATTATGTCCTTATTTCAAAGCTTCTTTCAATAATGTCATTCTTTTTCAAAAATAAAACCAAAACAAAAGAAAAAAACAACACAGGACAATAGTTTTTACAGATCAAAAGTCTGGGCCTTCTTAATTCTAAGATGTAACACTGCATAGTTTTTTTCAATGTACATACAAAAATCAACATGTAAATAAGCCTGTATCTTACCAACATTTTACCTCTTTCACTTCATTATCTCTTATTTCACACCAAGGAAGACTGGAGAATGCCAAATCAAGAGTATACTAATAATAATTCTGGATGTCCAAGAAGGGATATAGTCTTTTTATTCAAGATTTTCAGACTTAATTACAGAATTATTTATTCAAGCAGTAACAGTTCAAAGATTTGATAAGTTTTAAAACGCTATTTGGATATGCTGGCTTAGCTTTTTTAAAAAAAATCACTTCGGACAATACAAAAGTTACGTTTTGTGAATAAAAAGTATGCAAATCAGATATTAAAGAATGAAAGATAACAAACTCACTTGGGATATACTGGTTCATAAAGGTACTTGTCCCCTCTTGTTGAGGTAATATGGAAAAACAGAATGTAGCCATGTGCTGTCTGAAAGATAAATAAATTAAAGGGTAGAATGATTAAAATCCTGACTTTGAATTTTACATCTATTACTATGTTGAAAGACTTTCATTTTTAAAATCCTCTTAGAGTCATTACGCACATAAAAAAGATTTTCACACAACTCATCTATGCTTAATGTAACTCACAAATGGTTTTACAGATTAGAAAATATTTCATAGGCAGTTGAAATCAATGGTTCACAACTAATTTAAATTGCAAAACAATGCCATTATATGATCATGGAACATATGTATAACTTGTGAAGCTCACACCATCAATTTACAATCACGTTAGTATAAAAAGCAGTACATTTAGCTATTCCTACCAAACCTTTTCAGGCACTACAGTGAATTAGTAAATGTTTGACCAAGGTACTTTATACTAATACGATTTCTTTTGATTTTTAGAGCCTTGGGCGCTTTTGTTCAAAAAGCAAAGAAAATTTTAAAAAGTATTCAAACTTGCAAATATCTTTCCATTACAGACTTTGTTTTCACTTAAAGCAATACCAAAAGAAACTTCTCTAGCAAAGCCACATATTTTTTAAGCTATAAACGTTTTAAGCTACAAACATTTTATTACTTGTCCTTTCCCAAAACTTTAGTTCTACATATTGGAATACAAAAGAAAAAGAGGCTAAGATTTCAGATATGATCAACATTCCAATCTCTCATGTGAAATTTAATAGTGCTCTAATTTAGAAAGCATAGAATCAAAAGAAAAATGGATTCCAATGAAATTATATCAAAAGTTTCAGAGACATCTTGACCTTTATGCAGACTAGCAACTATCTAAAATTTGTAAAGAAACACCATACTGTGTACCCTAGAAATGCATGCTTGGGTTTAGGGAACGGTTGGTTAAAAGAAAACCAAAATAGTTTTGAGTCCAGTGATGGATCCTCATTCACCTCCCTAGATGAGAGGCTGCTATATTAAAAATTCAGTCTTTTTTTTTCTTGTGGCATTCTGTATACCACTTATGCTTTGATTTTTTTCTCCACTGTTGAGACTGAAAGAAAAGCAACATAAATGGTTTTTCATAAGGAAGTAACAAGTCTTACAATAGTGAAAATAAAGAGCAAAAGTGGAAAACCACTAATTTCAGAATATATTACAAAGTTGAAATAAATACAATGATTACAAAGATATTCAACATCAACAGTCATTTTAAAAATGCAAATTTAAGCTACAAAATACCACTATACACACTGAAAATGGCTAAAATTAAAAAAGGCAACTATGGAGAAAGACAAAACACCATATAATTTCACTCAAGTGATATATAAAGAAAACAGATGAACTAAATACCAGAGGGAAGGGAGGTAGGTGGGAAAGCTAGGTAAAAAGGGACAATCCTGATATGCCAAGGATAGAAATCTACTTTTAGTTTTGAATTTAATGTACTACATGCATGTGTTGATTTTTATGATGCACATCTGAAATTTATATAATGTTGTAATGCAACATTAGAGATTGGAGATTACATATATATATGTGTGTGTGTATATATATATATATTCTGAAGGATAAAACAATTTAGATAAAATAGAGAGAGGGCTCTCCCTGGTGACACAATGGGTTAATGCACTGCATTATGAAGCTCTCCAAAGCCACTGAAGCACAAGTTCAATCCCTGGTCAAGAAGCTGACCCACGGCACAGCAGACATCTTCTGACCTGCCCGCTGTTCCCCTCAGGAGTGTATTTCAGTCAATCTGCCTGTCTTGCTCCCTGCTCTGTCTCTGGTGAATCCTCTCATCTACCACATCTCTGGCTTGTACCCCAGTTCTGTAAGCATAAATAAATCAATCTTTAAAAAAGAATTACTTAGGGAGAGTTTGGATTCTTCTTTAAAAAAAAAGAAAGAAAGAAAAACAAGGAAAACTGAAGCTTTCCATATTGGGGGGAAAAAATTGTTTTCAAGTTATTTAAAACAGCACAGCATGTTTTAATGCAATTAAGATGGTTTGTAAAACTGACACTCTCCCTGAATCCAGCAGCTGCCAATTAAATGTGATGAATTTGATGACTTTTAAAGGAAAAAAAGTATAACGAGATCTTCGGAAATAGGTTCATGAAGATTTTAGGGACAAATAGGTATTTGGTAGGCTGCAGATTTATGGAAAATAAAATAATAATATAATAATTTTATATTTCATAATATATAATTTTATATTTCATATATTTCATAATAATTTTATGATTCACCTTAGTCAAGGTAAATGGGTACCTTTGTTTTATAATAAGGCACTTTGCATTACTTTTAGTTACTTTATATATTTTTTTTTTAGTCCAGTCACAAATGAAGACAGATGATCAGACCTAATATCAACCTTTTTTTTTTTTTTAGGATAGTATGTAAGCCAATATGTAAACAAAACATGTTAGTGATATTATGAGTAAATTAGATACATACTAAATATTTCCAAAAGCAGATCTGTGCAGGATACAATACCCACAATGGAACAATCGTGGGTATAGAATTTCTAATAAGAACTTTGGTTATCCAGGAAAATTCTCAATTTAAAGAAAGGTGGTTGGTGGCCCTCCCTGGTGGTGCAGCGGGTTAAAGCACAGCACTAAGAAGCTGAAACCACTTCCGCATGAGTTCGATTCCCGCCTGCCCCGGAGGTGACCACATGGCATGGCAGACCTCTCCTGACCCGCCCGCTGCTCCCCTCAGCAGTGTACTTCGTCGATCTGCCCATTCTGCTCCCCACTCTGTCTCTGGTGAAGTCTCTCACCGCCCCTGAGCCTCTGGCCTGTACCCCAGTTCTGTATGCACAAATAAATAAATCTTTAAAAAAAAAAAGAAAGGTGGTTGGATATAAAGTGAGTACAATTATCTGAATTTGATTTTCAATGAGCAGAAATTTATATTTTTTGGCATTACTACAATGTCATTAATCAAAATGCAGATGTAATCCATTTTGAGACTCCTTATATATGAAATACTTGAAAAATATTTGGTGGTGGTTTATTGGCATCACCAAAAGAAGGATCACAACATGAAAATATATACCCAAGGACACTGGTATACAGAAACTCCCTAATTCATTAAAATATTTTTTAAAAGTGATTCACTACATGACTTTGAAGTAAAATAAATAACCTGACTTGGCAATTTATAGGCTCTTAGCAGTAAGGCTGAACTTCAAACACTACAATGGTAGCCAATGTTACAATACAAAGTTGACAGAAAATGAACATAAAAGTTAAGCAATCACTTTAGTTCTATATGGCTCTAGTCTGAGAGACTGATTCAGGATAAGCACTGAATGGAAATTCAGTGATAAGTCACTAATCTCTGCTGCTAGCATATATGCCTATTTCTTTATAGATGGCTCTTTCCATTCTTTCCTGAATTGTAACTATTTGTATGTTCCAGACAATGAAGATGGGAGGTTGCACTTAATTTATATGCTGTCAGGGAATGTAATGAATAAATTAAGTAACACTAATTTGCACTGCAAGAGAAAGAAACAGATGTTGCAAGAGGGAAAAGTGTGGTAGGAGCTTTCAAACTATTTCTAAAGATTTTTTTAATTCATTTTGAGAAATAAATGACTATTAAAGGCAATAAAGACCCATAAATAAATAAATAAGCATACATAGCACCTGTTGACAAAGAGGAATGAGAATTCTTATGTACTGCTGGTAGGAACATAAAATGGTACACTACTGTGAAAAATGCTTATTGTTTCTCTAAAACATTAAATATATACTCTACCTTATGAATCCAGCTGTCCCACTCTTAGGTATTTACCCAAAAGAAAAGGAAATATAAAACCCAAATATGCACACACATGTTCATAGCAATTATGTTTAGAATAACAAATGTGGAAATTTAAATGTGCAGGAACAGATGAAAGGATAAACTAATTGTCCATTACAGTAAACACTACTCAGAATGTGAACTATTGGATTCATGACAACACATGAATTTCTAAAGATCTGTGTACTGTTCAAATATGTGTTTGTTGTCTATCGATTATACCTCCATACAGTAGGGAAAACAGATGAAAGTGGATGGTTTGAAGAGCTTCTACCAGCACATAAAAAAGCTTCATCAAGCCTACTAGAGTATGACGTTACAATGAAAATAGACAGACAGCTCCAGGGAATTACCAGATATGTGACTAAGAGTATGCTGACCTATTCAGGACCAGTGGAACTATTATGTAACTATAATCACTTCAGGGACAGCAGGAAAGACCAGACAAACCAACACAGCTCAAATAATAAAATGAGTAAAATTTGTTGTTTTGAAATCACTAAGATGCAAAGATAAAAATTAAATAATGTGAAAAGACACCTAACAAAACTAACTAAAATTTAAGGAAAAGGATGCCAAGCTTTAAAAACAAAAGAAAAATTTGATAAAGTGCCAGCAGAGATCCATCAGAATTGCACATTAATCACTTCAAAAATAAAGTTTGGTCACAAGTTTAAATGAGAAAAAAAAGAGAGAGAGAGATGGATGAATGGCTACTATGTGTAGGACTTTATTCCTCCACATCTTGTCATATTGCATCAATTCCATTTAATACCCTGTTCACCTGTTATTTGGTAATTAAATGCATTAAGATAGGGGGGGGGGTACACAATAAAACAAAAAGTCTAATTTAAACAGATATTATTAAGGGGAAATTAAGCTTTACCTTATCCACAAGTAATTTACATTTTAAACTTATAATAGTAACATGTTTTAGTTGAAGAGACTATATTTCTCATTTTCTGAGTGCTAAAAGGAGTATTAATGATAGTACTTGGAAACAGATGGAATGGTCATTTGGGGCCAGATCAGAGGAGGCCCTGAATACTAGTCTAAGCAGTTAGCAAATATTTTATATACAATAGAAAGCCACTGAAAGGAAAATAGGACTAATTAAAGACCTGTGATTTAGAAATAGCTATGCATAAAATTGAGATATATTTCAAGAAAAAAAAATAGCTAAATGTTTTTGCATTCTATTCTAAAACA